TGTGTGTTATGTGTGTGTTCTGTGTGTTCTGTGTGTGTTCTGTGTGTTCTGTGTGTGTTCTGTGTGTTCTGTGTGTTCTGTTTGTGTTCTGTGTGTTCTGTGTGTGTTCTGTTTGTGTTCTGTGTGTGTTCTGTGTGTTCTGTGTGTGTTCTGTTTGTGTTCTGTGTGTGTTCTGTGTGTGTTCTGTGTGTTCTGTTTGTGTTCTGTGTGTGTTCTGTGCGTTCTGTGTGTGTTCTGTGTTTGTTCTGTGCGTTCTGTGTGTTCTGTGTGCGTTCTGTGTGTTCTGTGTTATCTGTGTGTGTTCTGTGTGTGTTCGGTGCGTTCTCTGTGTTCTGTGTGCGTTCTGTGTGTGTGTTCAGGTCCTACTGATCTGTGACACCACACCTACACCCTCATGACGTCATAAATACAAATAAATGGATCCATTTAAATTCTAACATAAACTTTGGACCGTTCTTAAAATGTCTCTGATTCACATCGAGCCTCTTTCTCTTTTTACTTATAAGTTATTCAGAAACTTAGATTTAAGAAATTAAAAACCTCTGGCGCCTAAAAAGTTAAAACTAGATTCTCCAATGGGACAAAACAAATGCAGAATGTCAGATTAAAATAAAAACATCAGATTCTTTTATGACCTCATATTCAGTATTTTTACAGTGCGTCCCTGGACGATGTTAAACTCTTCTTCAAACCGACAGAAGCCATTGTTTTTGTTCACATCAATCACTTTTATACTTACTTCCTTCTCTTTGCAATCAAACACCTCCCGCCGCCGCCGCCGCCACCGCCGCCGCCGCCACCGCCACAAGCAGCGGCTCCTGATTGTCCACAAAATTAAATGTGTTGTAATTCTCGGCTCTGGTCCAAACCGTTGTGTTTCCGTGTTTGTAGATTGCTTTCTTGTCTTTGATTGTTTTGTGCGTCGCCTTCAGTAATCATATGTCACTTCGCCGTGGCGTTCGGAGCCAGACGGCAGCGGCTTCATCGTGCCGTTTTTGCCGCATTAAAAAGCGTTTTCAGACGAAGTGTTTGATTGTTTCTGTGGTAAAAAGGCTTTCAGCGCCGTTAATGCAGACGCCCTTTAACCGGAGAAAACTGTAATCAGCAGGGCTTAGAACCAACGACCTGCTGACCGCTGTTAACACTGCTCAGAGCAGTCACTCTGACTGCTTTTACATTTGGAACCCCATGTACATTGTTCATCTTCATATTATTATTTTTTATGTGAATAATTCTATTTTTAGATGAAATTCAAATGGATTTTTTTTCAAGCTGCTGGTCCCGGACTAGTCTTGGACTGGTCTTGGACTGGTCTTAGTCTGGTCTTGGACTGGTCCCGGACTAGTCTTGGACTGGTCTTGGACTGGTCTTGGACTGGTCTTGGACTGGTCTTGGACTGGTCTTGGTCTGGTCTTGGACTGGTCTTGGTCTGGTCTTGGACTGGTCTTGGACTGGTCTTGGTCTGGTCTTGGACTGGTCCTGAGCTGAGTCAGCCTGGTTTTCCATCAGAGAAGTGACTATACAGGACACTGCAAAAAGTGATGAAAAATAAGTAAAAAATCGCTCAATTTGGAAAAATGTGTTTTCTTTTGGGCACATTCTGACTTCATTAAAAACAACAGGAAAAGTAAAAATATCTGGTTTAAAAAGGTTTCAGAAATGTCTCCTTTGGAAAGAGTAAATACAACTAGATCTCATTGGAATGAGTCAGATTAAGATAAAACGCTGAAGTATTTATTATTTCATGTTTGATGGTACTTTGCAGTGTCGTTACCATAGCAACACTGTTTACTTTCCACCAGTGAGTTTTTGGTCCTCTGTATTTCAACTTATATTTCACCAGTTTTACTGTTTTAGTGACGACAGACCTCATAAAGGACTGGAGCAAGTGAAGAGATAAAACTGGACAATGAAACATGTTTGGGGATTTTTTCAGAATTGGGAGCAGTCAAAATGACGGCTCCGGGAGTTCATGTAGGATCAGCATTCTGTCAGGAGAGACCAGAGTTTACACATGGTAAGACCAGATGTACATGTAGGAAATGACCATGGACCAGAGTTTACACATGGTAAGACCAGACGTACATGTAGGAAATGACCATGGACCAGAGTTTACACATGGTAAGACCAGACGTACATGTAGGAAATGACCATGGACCAGAGTTTACACATGGTAAGACCAGACGTAGATGATGGTATAGTTTAGATGCTAATGCTAGGCTACAGTCAGAGGCGGTGAGACCATTATATTCCATAGTTCATACAGAATCCTCTCCCACATGGTTAGCGTGTGTTAGTCCACATTATGTCTGACTGTTTCCACACGTCCTGTCCTCAGATGTTTAATCAAAGGTTCGGTGAAGACGGCGCCCCCTGCGCCCCGACATCAGGACTGCGGTGTGAGTCAGTGATGTCACAATCAAAGAGACCAAAGATGCTTTGTGGAAGTAAATCCATGCACTGTCCAAGACAGAGAGAGATGTGTTCATTTTACAAACTGAATCGTCTCATGAGGAAAATATATATACACATGAGGAAAATATACATACACATGAGGAAAATATACATACACATGAGGAAAATATACATACACATGAGGAAAATATATATACACATGAGGAAAATATACATACACATGAGGAAAATATACATACACATGAGGAAAATATATATACACATGAGGAAAATATACATACACATGAGGAAAATATATATACACATGAGGAAAATATATATACACATGAGGAAAATATATATACACATGAGGAAAATATATATACAACCCCAACTCTCAAACACACACACACACATGTGTGTATAACTCAAAAACTACATTTAACATAGATCAGAGAAAAGATTTCAAACATATGACTATGTGTGTGTGTGTGTGTGTGTGTGGGTGTCTCTGTGTGTGTGTGTGTGTCTGTGTGTGTGTGTGTCTGTGTGTGTGTGTGTGTGCGTGTCTCTGTGTGCGTGTGTGTGTCTGTGTGTGTGTGTGTGTGCGTGTGTCTGTGTGTGTGTGTGTGTGTGCGTGTGTCTGTGTGTGTGTGTGTGCGTGTCTCTGTGTGTGTGTGTGTGTGTGTGTGTGTGTGTGTGTGTCTGTGTGTGTCTGTGTGTGTGTCTGTGTGTGTGTGTGTGTGTGCGTGTCTCTGTGTGTGTGTGTGTGTCTGTGTGTGTGTGTGTGCGTGTGTCTGTGTGTGTGTGTGTGTGTGTGCGTGTGTCTGTGTGTGTGTGTGTGCGTGTCTCTGTGTGTGTGTGTCTGTGTGTGTGTGTGTGTGTCTGTGTGTGTGTCTGTGACTGTGTGCACTTGTTTTCAACTCCTGGTGGGTTCCATAACCTGAGATTCCGCTCACGTCATGGGGACTGGTTTTACGTGGTGGGGCCCGAACACCGGACCCCACTGGTCCAAGCTTAATAATCAATGGGTAATGCTTTTCTAACGGTCCTTATGCAGTCTCTGTAAAAATATGGAAAGGACCCCTGGAGGTTTACTTTCCTGAAAAAAGTGTGTTATGTGTCGGAACCCTGGTGGTGGGTTGCGGGATATCAAGGAGGGGCACACTGGGGCAATTTCAGTCCAGCAGGCTGGAGCCAATCATGGAGCAGCACAACAGAGGCTGGAGCCAATCATGGAGCAGCACAACAGAGGCTGGAGCCAATCATGGAGCAGCACAACAGAGGAAATCAGGTGTCAGGCTAGAAAAAGGTGCAAGTGTGTGGTTCATTAGGCTGCAAGAAATCATGGAGGAGCACACTGAAGCGCACGCTTACAAACCACTGGTAAGTGCTGACTACAAGTCATGACTTCAAATTGTTATATAGAATGATTACAAATTATTTGTTGTTTGTGCAGCTTAGTCAAGAGTCCCTAATTGATGAAGTCGACTCAGATTCTGACGATTTAACTGTCAAGAAGAAACCTGTAAAAAAGTATGGAAAAAGAAAAATCAAAAACACTTTTCTTCAAGACTCGGAAAGTGACGAACCAAAGGCAAATAAGATTGTTATCATGCAGCTGCAAAAGAAGAAAAATGGGGGCAGGGTTTACAGCAAGAGACACTTCTGCCTCTACTGTTCAATGTCCTGCCACAAAATGTCCCGTCATTTGACTAGAAAACATGGAAATGAAAGTGACGTAGCCAGAGCATTGGCTCTACCTGTGAAATCTAAAGCACGTAAACTTCAGTTTGATTTGATCAGGAATAGTGGAAACCGTGAGCACAATTTTGAGGTTTTAAAGGCCGGCATTGGAACTTTAGTCCCAGCTAAACAGCCAAATTGCCCAGTTAAATCCAGTGAGTTTTTGCACTGTATAGACTGTGGGGCATTGCTTAAGCGAAAGTCGCTGTGGAGGCATGTGGCCAGGTGCCGGCTTTCACAGAAAGATGCCCAGGCTAAACCAGGTAGAAGTAGGGTCCAGTCCCTCTGCTCCCTAGCCCAGCCTGTACCGGAGGGCATCAGCAAAAAGCTGTGGTCTTTAATTTCGGCAATGCATCAGGATGAGGTCACGGGTGTTGTCAAAGCAGAAAAGGGGATTCTGAGACTCGGAGAGCACCTGTACTTAAAACACGGGCATGATAAGACTAAGCATGATTACATTAGGCAGAAAATGAGAGAAGTCGGTAGGTTAATTAACGAAGCAAAAACCGCAGGGAAACTGAAAACAATTAAGGATTTCTTTATTCCTTCCAACTTTAACCATGTGATTGATGCAGTCAGGTCTGTGGCTGGATATGATGAGGAAACAAATCAATACAAGACTCCATCCTTGGCCCTCAAACTCGGCCATAGCCTCAGAAAGCTAGCAGATATTCTTGAATGTGACTCAAAAATGGAGCATTGTGTTGATGAACTATTTATTAAAAACCTCCAACGAAGCCGGCTGCTTTTTGAGAAGAGGTGGGACGTCTGTGTTTCTTCTGCTGCCCTACAGACCCTCCGGCAAGCCAAGTGGAACACTCCGGACCTGCTCCCTCTGACTGAGGACGTTAGAGCCATGCATGCACATATTGAGGTATGTCGACCTGAATATGTGCAAACCCTAATAAGTGAGCCAACGTCTAAGCATTGGTCTAAACTGGCAGTTTTGACTCTTTGTGAGGTCATTATTTTCAATCGAAGAAGGGAAGGTGAGGTTTCAAAGATGCCACTGACAGCCTTTACCTTAAGAAGTAAGACTGGGATCCATTCTGACATTGCTCTGGGACTGTCCCAACTTGAGAAAAAGCTGTGTCAGCATTTTCAACGCATTGAAATTAAAGGGAAAAGAAGTCGGAAAGTGCCGGTTCTTTTGACTCCTGAAATGATTGCTTCGATGGAGGTGCTGGTGGAGAACAGAAGGGCCTGTTCCATCTCTGACCATACTTCTTCTCCCGCCCGGGCGCAGACACCCACATCAGGGGATCAGACTCCCTACGCCAGGTAGCCAAAGAATGTGGTGCGGTGCATCCAGAGATGCTATCCTCAACCAAACTTAGAAAGCACATAGCTACTATGTCTACAGTTCTCAATATGAAAGAGAATGAGATGGACATACTTGCCAACTTCCTCGGCCATGACATTCGCATCCACAGGCAATATTACAGACTACCAGAGGGGACACTGGAGCTGGCCAAAATCAGCAAAGTGTTGATGGCCATGGAGCAGGGAAGAGTGACGGAATTCGAAGGAAAGAGCCTCGACCAGATACAAATTGAGCCTGAAGGTAATTCTTGATATTATTAAAATATGTATGATTTTTTTCCCCTAAAGGCCACTTGTATTTTTATTTTCTGTGCGACAGGGAGAGCAGTAGAGATCCTCTCACAAACGGACGGGCTAAAAGAAACTTCAAGCGGAGAACCTTCAACCATTCATCCAGATGCACCCCATGGTAGTGGCAGTGCCCCTTCTGGTAAGTGTACCAGGTGGGGGATTACAGCCAGGCTGCTTGGTCCTAACCCTGGGAGTGTATATTGCTAATATATTTTTATTTCTCTCCCTAGAACGTGTAAGAAAGCCATGGTCTGCATCTGAGGTGAAGGCTGTGGAGAAGACCATGACACCTTTCATACAGACTGGAAAGGTCCCTGGGAAGTCTCACTGCCTGGCCTGCATTAATGCCTCACCAGATGACCTTAGACATCGGACATGGAGTGGCATTAAATTCTATGTCAAAAATAGAATCACTGCAATTCGAAAAAAAAATCTAAAATAAAATTCCTTTAAAAGAGTTGTTTGGTTTCTATTGACTGTTTTGTATTACTTATAGTCCCAGTAAAAAAAGATTATGTCTATGGGTCCCATTCTGAACGGCCCTGTCAAAGGGACCCACCAGGTAACAAAAACGTGTATGTGTGTGTGTGTGTGTGTCTGTGTGTGTGTGTATGTGCGTGGTTTCCTTTTCTCTCATCTTTCTCTCTGCTCTCTCTGATTTCTCTCTTTCTGTTGTCTCTGTCTCCATCTCTCTCACACTGGAGTCTCTGTTCTCTCTTTCTCTGTTCTCTCTCTCTCTGGTGTCTCCCTTTGTGCTCTCTCTTTTTCTCTGGTGTCCCTGGTCTCTCTCTGCTCTCTCTCTCTGGTATCTCTGGTCTCTCTCTCTCTCTGCTCTCCCTCTCTGCTCTCTCTCTTCCTCCCTATGCTCTCGCCCTCTCTTTGCTCTCTCTTTTTCCTCCTTGCGCCTCCAAATCAACCCTCACTCCCGGCCTCTCCTTCGTCCCAAGTTCACCCCAGACTTTGCAATCCCGCTCAGACTCGTCCAAAACGCCCCAAGTTAAATGAGTCCAATTAAAAGCGTGTTCCGTGTCCGTGGAGCTGCGTGTGTAGAGTTTTTACAGCCGTGACCTGCAGCTGTGATTGGTGCAGACCTGTCCCTCTGGCCCCTCCCACAAACCCACCGCTCACACCCACACACTGGTTCTGAATCCGTTCTCATTTCTTTCTGACACATTTTTTCGGTGAAGCTGTTTACTGCGGCCGCTGCTTAAAGGTCAAGGTGATTGTTATTCAAGCAAAACATGTTTACGAGTTTTTTTTTTTAATATATTTTTGAATGAATAAGTGAAAAGAATTGAGTTAAGCGGCGAGAATGGACGCAACTTTATTGGAAAAATGTCAGAGTGAGGGTTTTAAAAGCAGGTAATTGGTTTGATTGTGTGAATTCTGTGCAAAGTTTAGAAAGTTGTTGAAAGAAAGTTTGAATATGGAGTCAGGTGAAAACATGTAGATGAGATTAAAGCTGGGGTACCTGACTTTCAAACCACCGGCCTTGTTAAACTGCCACTGGGTCTTCACTGTAAAAAGTGGTGACAAATAAGTAAAATATTGCTCACATTTGGCAAAATGTGTTTCTGTAATCTTGTTTTCACTGACTCTACCCTACCCTACTCTACTCTACCCTACCCTACTCTACTCTACTCTATTCTACTCTACTCTACTCTACCCTACTCTACTCTACTCTACTCTACCCTACTCTACTCTACTCTACTCTTTTTGTTTGTTTGGTGCCAGATTCTAAAGTGTCATGGAAACACAAACAGGTAGAGTAGAGTAGGATTAAGTAGAGTAGAGTAGAGTAGAGTAGAGTAGGGTAGAGTAGAGTAGAGTAGGGTAGGGTAGGGTAGAGTAGAGTAGAGTAGAGTAGGGTAGAGTAGAGTCGAGTAGAGTAGAGTAGAGTAGGGTAGAGTAGAGTAGGGTAGGGTAGAGTAGGGTAGAGTAGAGTAGAGTAGAGTAGGGTAGAGTAGAGTCGGGTAGAGTAGAGTAGAGTAGGGTAGAGTAGAGTAGGGTAGGGTAGAGTAGGGTAGAGTAGAGTAGAGTAGGGTAGGGTAGAGTAGAGTAGGGTAGAGTAGAGTAGAGTAGGGTAGAGTAGAGTAGGGTAGAGTAGGGTAGAGTAGAGTAGAGTAGGGTAGGGTAGGGTAGAGTAGAGTAGAGTAGAGTAGGGTAGAGTAGAGTCGGGTAGAGTAGAGTAGAGTAGGGTAGAGTAGAGTAGGGGTAGGGTAGAGTAGGGTAGAGTAGAGTAGAGTAGAGTAGAGTAGAGTAGGGTAGAGTAGAGTAGGGTAGAGTAGAGTAGGGTAGAGTAGGGTAGAGTAGAGTAGAGTAGGGTAGAGTAGAGTAGAGTAGAGTAGGGTAGAGTAGAGTAGGTAGAGTAGAGTAGGGTAGAGTAGGGTAGAGTAGAGTAGAGTAGGTAGAGTAGAGTAGAGTAGAGTAGAGTAGGTAGAGTAGAGTAGAGTAGAGTAGAGTAGGTAGAGTCGGGTAGAGTAGAGTAGAGTAGGGTAGAGTAGAGTAGGGTAGAGTAGAGTAGGGTAGAGTAGGTAGAGTAGAGTAGAGTAGGGTAGAGTAGAGTAGAGTAGAGTAGGGTAGAGTAGAGTAGGGTAGAGTAGGGTAGAGTAGAGTAGGGTAGAGTAGAGTAGGGTAGGGTAGAGTAGGGTAGAGTAGGGTAGAGTAGAGTAGAGTAGGGTAGGGTAGGGTAGAGTAGGGTAGAGTAGAGTAGGGTAGGGTAGAGCAGAGTAGAGTAGAGTATTTGTCACATCTTTAGATCAGACTTTTCAAGCAGAAAAGTGACAAAAGAACTCTCTCTCAGCCAATCGGCTCTCAGCCAATCAGCTCTCAGCCTTAATCCTCAAACGTGACTCATTCATTCATAACAGATGTCTCTAATAGCAAAGTCTTTCCCTGTTTCTGTTAAACTTTATTTTATAAGGTCATTGACATTGTTGCCCCACATGTTGTTGAATTGACAAATGGTTCTCTTATGTCTGGGTCTGTTCCAAACTTTTTTAAACAGGCAGCGATAAGTCCTATCCTAAAAAAGCCCAATTTGGACCCAGCTGAGCCTGGCAATTACAGGCCCATATCAAAATTACCATTTCTCTCCAAAGTTGTGGAAAAGGTGGTAGCAGAACAGTTGTCTGCTTTTCTCCAAAAAGATGAAAGGTTTGATAAATTTCAATCGGGCTTCCGTAAGATGCACTCTACTGAGACTGCCTTACTAAAAGTGTCCAGCGACATCCGAATGGCTGCTGACTCTGGTCAGTTTTCTGTATTGATCCTGCTTGATTTGTCTGCAGCTTTTGATACTGTAGATCATAAATTACTGCTACAGAGGCTCAATACTGACTTTGGCATTTCTGGAACTGTCCTTAAATGGTTATCGTCCTACTTGACCAACAGAACTTTCTCTGTGTGTATAAATAACATTATGTCTGAAGCTACTCCTTTGTTACACGGTGTTCCTCAGGGATCTGTTTTGGGACCTATTTTGTTTTTGTTGTACATCAGCCCCCTTGGAAAAACCATTAGCCGTTTTAAAAATGTTTCTTACCATCTCTATGCTGATGATATCCAACTGTATTTTTCGTTTAAGGAGTCAGAGTTGCACAGACTGTCAGAGTTAATGGATTGTCTTTCAAGTGTAAAGTCGTGGCTTCGTGAAAACTGCCTTCAGTTGAATTCTAAAAAGACTGAGACTTTGATAATTGCTCCGGAGCAAAAAATTCCTTCAATTGTAAACCACCTTGGTTCTCTGGGCTCCTCGGTTCAGTCGAGCGTCAGAAATCTTGGTGTTTGGTTTGACCAGTCTCTGTCCCTTGACCGCCACTCGAGACACTTGGCCAAAAACTGTTTTTTCCATTTGAGAAACATTGCCAAGTTGAGGCTAATTTTATCCAAATCTGATCTAGAATTGGTGATTCATGCTTTTATCTCGTCTCGTTTAGATTATTGTAACTCCCTTTTTACTTGTTTTAACAAATCTGCTTTGAATCGTCTTCAAATGGTTCAAAATGCTGCTGCGCGGCTTTTAACAGGCTCTAGCAGACGGTCACACATTACTCCTATTTTATCCTCTCTGCACTGGCTTCCCATCAAATTTCGAATTGATTTCAAAATTTTAGTATTGACTTTTAGAGCGCTGAATGGTCAGGCTCCCAAATACGTGTCTGACCTGACCTGCTGTGCCCTTACTCCTCCGGTCGCAACCTTAGGTCTTTGGGTCAGAACCTCCTTGCTGTCCCAAGGACCCACTTTAAAACCAGAGGTGACCTGTCCTTTGAAGTTGTTGCTCCTAAACTGTGGAATGCCCTTCCTCTGTCGCTACGTGTGACCGACACTGTCGTTTCCTTTAAAAAACAGCTGAAGACATGGCTGTTTGGACGAGCTTTTAGTTGAAAAGGCTGTGATTGTTTTAATTAATTTGTTTTAAGATTGCTCTGTAACTTTTATTGTTGTGCCCCTGTGAAGCACTTTGTGATTTTATCTGTGAAAGGTGCTATATAAATAAAGTTTCTTCTTCTTCTTCTTTCTGCAAATGCCCTTTATCTGAAACCATGACAGAAACTCCGCCTGTGAGCGCGTCTCCTCTGCAGTGGGAGCCTGTGGAACCCGCAGTGTCCTGAATGTCACCGTCTGCTGCGGTTCCCGTGTCCGGGCGCCATGATTGCGCTGGGCCTGGACCGGGTGCTGATCGGATTTGGGTCCCGTTGTCGCGGTAACGGGTCCGGCTGATGCTAGGATCATGTGTCGCGCAGAATAAATAAATCTGACATTATTACAGGCACTCGGGAGCCGGGGTCTGGGAGGAAAATGTTACACAGAGCAAACAAACTGAATGTCACCGAAAGAAAGAGACTAAGAGACGCTTTATTCGAACCACAGGGAGGAAATTTCAGAATTGCATCGCTGAGTACAGACAGCATTTATCACTGGCTAAAAACTTTGGGAACCCCTGAGCTTTAGCATAATAAAGAAGCTAGTATACAATCTCTAACTTTAGCATAATAAAGAAGCTAGTATAACATCTCTAACTTTAGCATAATAAAGAAACTAATACAGTATAAAATCTCTAGCTTTAGCAAGAGAGTTTATACTTTTTTGTACCAAACCTGCCTAAATTATATATTTTTTGGTTTCTAGACATAAACTTTGCTCCAATGTTTCGGTAAAAGGTTGAAGTTGCGTTTGATTATGTTTATTTAGTAATTATGTCATATATTAGGGATGTAAAAAACTATGAATTTTCATGACCGACCACCGAGCCTCATTAACCGGTTGAAACCGGTTAACCGCGTAGTTTAAAATAGTCCACGTTCTTTGAAATAACAGCCATTTCGAGCCGCGTACTTTTCATAAGAGCAGCTCTGCGTTCTACTGGATCAGAGCCGAGACAGCGGCGCCCAAACCCGCAACAGCTTCGGCACCTTTGCGCACAGAGAACTGCTTTTTTAATCTTCCCATTCTGCTGTGCTGCGGGTTAATACCAAAACTTTCTAGCAGCAAACGACGGCTCGTTCACATGGTCAGAGCAGCGAGTGACGAGCCGCGTCTCACAGGTCTTCACAAAAGTTTAAATACAAGTGATGTGTGTGGAGCTGATCCCGAGGACCATAAACACAAACATGTTTCCCCTACAGCAAAACATGTAGGGGAAATACGCGACTCCCAAAAGGAGCCGCGTATTTGCGCGAATCCTTTGGGCTCCGTGACACAGAGGAGCGCGACAGACCGGTATGTGTGTGTGTATGTATGTGTGTGTGTATGTGTGTGTGTATGTATATGTGTGTGTGTGTAAATGTAAGCTCCAATGTAGTTCTGACCCGCGCCAGTGTGCAACTTTGACGGTAAAAGAGGGGAGAGATGATGCGTGTGGATGTTACGCATGGAGAGGGGGAAAGTGTGTGTGTGTGTGTGTGTGTGTGCGTGTGTGTGTATATGTGGCTCGTGCGGCGTGAGAGTCGTCCCGGAGTTTATAATACATGGGCGCATACAGCTAGATACAGACCCGCTCGTCACACCGTGCAAATAGGGCTTAAAATAGCGTTATTAAGAGACCTCCCCTCTCCCCTTTTTCTCTTTTTTAACCGACAGCTTTGACCGGTTAACACTGTGACGGTCAACCACCGGTTAACCGGTCGCCGATTTACATCCCTATCATATATACATAACTTGTATGTGTTTTTTTTAGGCAAACCAACCTTTTTTGATAATGTAGCCTAATGTACTCTTGCAAACTATTTTAGACCTGAAAATGCTCACATCCACAGAATCCCCAAAGACTAACTTACAATTTGAGTAAAAGTTCTAGCATTTTCAACAAAGTCCAGGCTGTGAAAAGGCCTGTGTAGTACTTGTTTGGAAATAGGCCTGAGAGTTTAACCGGTTAAATCTGAAATTCCCAAACTCAAACCAGAGGCTTCTCAAACCAAAGTAAAAGTCCTGAGAATGTGAGAAACCGGTAAATATTTCACCTTTTAAAACCTGAAAAGTCAACATTCACAGATCAGGCTAAAGGACATGAAACAATATCGCATCACATTTGTTGCTAGCTCCACACGGAATCCTTCTGTGATTACCCAGAGTGCACCTCGGCCCCAGCTGTGTGCAGCGCAGTAATGAAGCCTTTGTTTCTGTGCCTGTGATTTCACCGGAGCGTTTGAAGACGACGTTCACGCTCGGCTTCGGAGATCTGCCTCAATTAGAGTCTGCAGAATGCACTGATGAAGTTTCCTCCAGGTGACGCGGGCCGCAGCACTCCTGAGGCCGAGCAGACTCAGCTGAACCTGTGAGGACTGTAGAGGAGACCCACACCAACGTGATTATTATTATTATTATGATCATCTCCTACATGTACGTCTGGTCTTACCATGTGTAAACTCTGGTCCATGGTCATCTCCTACATGTACGTCTGGTCTTACCATGTGTAAACTCTGGTCCATGATCATCTCCTACATGTACGTCTGGTCTTACCATGTGTAAACTCTGGTCCATGGTCATCTCCTACATGTACGTCTGGTCTTACCATGTGTAAACTCTGGTCCATGATCATTTCCTACATGTACGTCTGGTCTTACCATGTGTAAACTCTGGTCCATGATCATTTCCTACATGTACGTCTGGTCTTACCATGTGTAAACTCTGGTCCATGGTCATTTCCTACATGTACGTCTGGGTCTTACCATGTGTAAACTCTGGTCCATGGTCATTTCCTACATGTACGTCTGGGTCTTACCATGTGTAAACTCTGGTCCATGGTCATTTCCTACATGTACGTCTGGTCTTACCATGTGTAAACTCTGGTCCATGGTCATTTCCTACATGTACGTCTGGGTCTTACCATGTGTAAACTCTGGTCCATGGTCATTTCCTACATGTACGTCTGGTCTTACCATGTGTAAACTCTGGTCCATGGTCATTTCCTACATGTACGTCTGGTCTTACCATGTGTAAACTCTGGAGTTAACCCCTCCCACCTGTTAACGGAGTCAATGCAGCAAATCCAGACCTTAGTATGAAATGAAATGAGTACTGTGGTGCGGTAAGACCAGGCTATAACAGTTTAAGCTCCCCCGTCTGACACATGCTCCAATAAGACGTTATTCTTCCTCTTCCTCCTCCTCTTCCTCTTCCTCGCCGTTTGCCGCCGACAGATCCAGGCATTCCGCCCGGCCCTGGCGTAGCATCCACATTCCGTGCCTCTCAGGTGTCCCCAGATTCCGTTGCAATGGATTTCAGGCGCCGAAGCGGAACGGCGCCTGTGAAAAGACGTTTAAATGGAAGTATAGAGACGTTAGCCTTGCTCCCGTCCTCACGTGGGCCTCCTCTTCAGACCGGAGCGAGCGGCGGCGGCGGGACGATAAGATTCTCAGGAGGTCGGTGCTCACAGCCTTTGTCAGTCCTTTCAAAGCCGTCGTCAAAGGTTTTTTTAACTCCGGTCTCCGCTGACAATAACGTGCAGCGGATCTAATTAAGTGTGATGGAGTTTATTGTAAGTAGACAGCCTTGGGAGGCGGAGTTTCAATTACTGTGTGAAAGTAAACTACAGTAAGCTAGGCTAACGCAGAGGACCGAGGTGGAGCCGGTGTGAAGAGCTTTAAACACTTACGGAACAGAAGGAATGACGATAAATTAATAAGAACTATATATATTTAAAAAAAGCAAACTCTATCATAATCAGGAAAGAAGTCTAAAATCTCCAACTTTAGAATGATGATGAAGACGTAAGGTATAAAGGAGGATTTTCTACTCATCAAGAGGATCATCAAGTCTATTGGTCTTCCCAACTGTCAATCATTCTAGAGATATGTGCTCGTCCAATGAGACCAGAGAGTTATCACAGTAACTGAACCCTGCTGCATCGGCAATAAATACAAATAAAAACACTGGAAAAAAGTGAGAAACTGCTGGGGGAGAGATCCGCACAGACGGACGGGGAGGCTCTAGATCCAGCCTCAGTCCTGGGTCTACAGCCGCAGTCCTGGGTCTACAGCCTCAGTCCTGGGTCTACAGCCTCAGTCCTGGGTCTACAGCCTCAACCCTGGGTCTACAGCCTCAACTCTGGGTCTACAGCCTTAGTCCTGGGTCTACAGCCTCAGTCCTGGGTCTACAGCCTCAGCCCTGGGTCTACAGCCTCAGTCCTGGGTCTACAGCCTCAGTCCTGGATCTACAGCCTCAGTCCTGGGTCTACAGCCTCAGTCCTGGGTCTACAGCCTCAGTCCTGGGTCTACAGCTTCAGTCCTGGGTCTACAGCCTTAGTCCTGGGTCTACAGCCTCAGCCCTGGGTCTACAGCCTTAGTCCTGGATCTACAGCCTCAGTCCTGGGTCTAAAGCCTCAGTCCTGGGTCTACAGCCTCAGCCCTGGGTCTACAGCCTCAACCCTGGGTCTACAGCCTCAGTCCTGGGTCTACAGCCTCAGTCCTGGATCTACAGCCTCAGTCCTGGGTCTACAGCCTCAGCCCTGGGTCTAAAGCCTCAGTCCTGGGTCTACAGCCTCAGCCCTGGGTCTACAGCCTCAACCCTGGGTCTACAGCCTCAGTCCTGGGTCTACAGCCTCAGTCCTGGATCTACAGCCTCAGTCCTGGGTCTACAGCCTCAGTCCTGGGTTTACAGCCTCAGTCCTGGATCTACAGCCTCAGTCCTGGGTCTACAGCCTCAGTCCTGGGTTTTCAGCCTCAGTCCTGGATCTACAGCTTCAGCCCTGGGTCTACAGCCTCAGTCCTGGGTCTACAGCCTCAGTCCTGGGTCTACAGCCTCAGTCCTGGATCTACAGCCTCAGTCCTGGGTCTACAGCCTCAGTCCTGGATCTACAGCCTCAGTCCTGGGTCTACAGCCTCAGTCCTGGGTTTTCAGCCTCAGTCCTGGATCTACAGCTTCAGCCCTGGGTCTACAGCCTCAGTCCTGGGTCTACAGCCTCAGTCCTGGGTCTACAGCCTCAGTCCTGGGTCTATAGCCTCAGTCCTGGGTCTACAGCCTCAGTCCTGGGTCTACAGCCTCAGTCCTGGGTTTTCAGCCTCAGTCCTGGGTCTACAGCCTCAGTCCTGGGTCTACAGCCTCAGTCCTGGGTCTACAGCCTCAGTCCTGGGTCTACAGCCTCAGTCCTGGGTCTACAGCCTCAGTTGCTCACTTCTTGAACTCCTCCTTCAGTATTCACCTCTAAACCATACAGATAATCAATCATAACTATCCAAAACTGTAATCATTGAGTCACAAAAGTCTGTTTTTCTTCCCGGTGAGAAGAGTCGGGCCTCTCTCCCGCTGCTGCTGCAAAGATTTCATCACGCCTGGACAAACCCTGACATATTTTAGACTTTTCTCCTCTTTATCGAGACCGACCGGCTCCACAGACTCGCCCGGCGTTCGTCACTTCTCATTCCCTTCAGCCGGTAACCGATTTAACTCGACAAAGCAACTCCGAAAAGTGGTAGAAAACACGGCAAAGAAGTAATTTCCAAAGTGTATCGGACGAGCGGCGGGAAGACGTCAGCTCTAATTGTCTTGTCTGGCCGTGTTCCCACACCTTCAATTAGCTCGCATAAACTCCTCCGGTCGTGAGCGGGGTCTGCGGAACCACAGCCGTACGGGAAAAGGCACGGATTTAACAACTATTTTCCCTGTGGAGTCTGGGGCTGTCTTTCAAATGCAGCGTTTAGGCGGAAAAAACACAAGCCAAGCAAGAACACAGTGTCTTCTTTGGACATATTCACCGTGTTGCATAAATAAAAACACATATTTGTACAGACCTCGCAGAGAGAGAGGATTTCAGACAGACACGAAGAATACGGAGAGATCTACAGCCTCAGTCCTGGGTCTACAGCCTCAGTCCTGGGTCTACAGCCTCAGTCCTGGGTCTACAGCCTCAGTCCTGGGTCTACAGCCTCAGTCCTGGGTCTACAGCCTCAGTCCTGGGTCTGCAGCCTGAGTCCTGGGTCTACAGTCTCAGTCCTGGGTCTACAGCCTCAGTCCTGGGTCTACAGCCTCAGTCCTGGGTCTACAGCCTCAGTCCTGGGTCTGCAGCCTCAGTCCTGGGTCTGCAGCCTGAGTCATGGGTCTACAGTCTCAGTCCTGGGTCTACAGCCTCAGTCCTGGGTCTACAGCCTCAGTCCTGGGTCTACAGCCTCAGTCCTGGGTCTACAGCCTCAGTCCTGGGTCTACAGCCTCAGTCCTGGGTCTACAGTCTCAGTCCTGGGTCTACAGCCTCAGTCCTGGGTCTACAGCCTCAGTCCTGGATCTACAGCCTCAGTCCTGGGTCTACAGCCTCAGTCCTGGGTCTGCAGCCTGAGTTCTGGGTCTACAGTCTCAGTCCTGGGTCTACAGCCTCAGTCCTGGGTCTACAGCCTCAGTCCTGGGTCTGAAATCCCTAAAACTAAGACATAATTCTATGTTTGCGATGCTTTATCAGTCACACAGATGGTTAAAGTTCTCGGCCAAGTTCTGGATCCAATTTCCTCCACTTTTCCACTCTGACGCCTGTATTTAACTGAGCATCATGGTCCTTTGGGGGAGAATAAGACGAGGAAATCCCTGTGTTCCCAGCGACAGAACGCACACAGACACAAGAGCATGACTAAGCTGCTGGATTTACCCCGCACCAGCGACCGGCCGTGGACGGACTCATGGACCCAAGACTCAGCCTCGGACTCTGGGGTCCAAAGGTTTTAGAAAGTCCACTGTCACTGGCCATGACGTATTTATCCAATCTGCATTCTGGCATCACACTCTCAGACTCACAATCAAATAACTAACTCAGGAGTGTCCAGACTTAACTAACACGGCAGCTTTAGTTTGTCAGACTGTTCAGGAACCGACATCCTGGATTATAAAACTCTTTAGACGAGAATTGGTGTGTTTTGAGTCGCCTATATGTGTTTGGGTAAATATAAGCTCAAAGAAAATCAAAATTTAAACTCTAACTTAATATACAGCTTACAAGAAGTTGTGCTAATGCTAATGTTAGCATACGTATCAGATCGCAAATAAAACTAGCTGACTCGGTGCGATGAGAGCGTAGGGGAAATGAGAAGCCTGTGAGCGAGTTGGGGGCGGGGCTAAAACTGATAAAAACTTGCAGAAACAGGTACAGCTCCTTTACAGCTCCTGGGCGTGTCCCGGCTCCAAAAGGTCCAAGAGTAAGTAATCTTTATTTATATACCGCCTTTCACAGACCAGAGTCACAAAGCGGTTTACAATTGTTATTATTTTTGGGCATTTGTCTCTCACTCCACACAGAGATGGGAGCGGGGCCAGTACAGGAGGCACATGCCAGAACTATTGGACATGTTTTTAGTGGTAGGGGAAACCGGAGTAACCGGAGGAAACCTACGCAGACACGGGGAGAACATGCAAACTCCACTCAGAAAGGCCCTGGTCCGACCGGGATACGAACCCAGGACCTTCTTGCTGAGAGGCGAGAGTGCTATCCACCCCAGATGCACATGCTGCAATCTCACTCTGGGCCTGTGGGGGTGTACCCGGAAAGGTAATTACCCAATGCTTTTGAATGTCATTTTCTTTCATCTGGAAAACCTCTTTACAGGATGTAACGAGGTGTTGCGCCGGAATAACCAACCGCAGGAGATAATGACGGTAGCTTCAAAGAGAGAGAGAGGTTGTGAAGTCAGGTTGGGTCAGAACCTCAAGAAAAGAACCTGAACAATGGACATAAGACAAGAGAATTAATGAGGAGTATATTTACAGTGAATCAGGAGACGATGAGGAAGGACGAGAGAAACACAGAATCTTGTCAGAAAATGGTCTTAAAGGAGACGGATTTTCACCATCAACATTGTCTATTTTTTCAGATTCATTTTATTTGCTATTTGCAGCAAAACCATAGAGGAATACATCTGCAAGGGTCAGTGGTCTCTTTGTGGTTTCTGTCTCTGGTCTCTCTCTCTAGTCTCTCTCTGGTGTCTCTCTGGTCTCTCTCTGGTCTCTCTCTGGTCTCTCTCTGGTCTCTCTCTGGTCTCTCTCTGGTCTCTCTCTGGTCTCTCTCTGGTCTCTCTCGGTCTCTCTCTGGTCTCTCTCTGGTCTCTCTCTGGTCTCCCTCTGGTCTCCCTCTGGTCTCTCTCTGGTCTCTCTCTGGTCTCTCTCTGGTCTCTCTCTGGTCTCTCTCTGGTCTCTCTCTGGTCTCTCTCTGGTCTCCCTCTGGTCTCTCTCTGGTCTCTCTCTGGTCTCTCTCTCTGGTCTCTCTCTCTGGTCTCTCTCTGGTCTCTCTCTCTGGTCTCTCTCTGGTCTCTCTCTGGTCTCTCTCTGGTCTCTCTCTGGTCTCTCTCTGGTCTCTCTCTGATCTCTCTCTCTGGTCTCTCTCTGGTCTCTCTCTCTGGTCTCTCTCTGGTCTCTCTCTGGTCTCTCTCTGGTCTCTCTCTGGTCTCTCTCTGATCTCTCTCTCTGGTCTCTCTCTGGTCTCTCTCTCTGGTCTCTCTCTGGTCTCTTTCTGGTCTCTCTCT